ATATATTTACATTAACAGGGAACAAAATTAATTCAAGTTACGGTTGTTTTTTTTTTTTTCCCTATATTTACTTTTTTATTTAAAACAACTCCTAAAGCAAATGTGTTTGATTGGTGCAGTATTAAAGATATAAACTAAAGAGGAAATCATCACTACAAACAATTTGATATGGAAAAAAAAAAAAAAAATTGCAATTTTAAAACCCACTTAAAATAATTAACATTCTTTGTTTTTTCCAGTTCAGATGGAAAGGCAGGTATTAAATTTAGGCAGTCCTAAATTTAGCTTTTAGGACTCCTTTAATTTAGCCAATGGCAAACAAAACTCTAAACTAGTAATCCAAAGTGACATATAAACTACATATGAAACAAAAATGCCATTACTTTTTATGACTACTCAAATGAGCATAGAGCCACTCCACACATTTTTGTTCAACCAAGAAGCCTCATAATGTCAGAATTCATACCTGTATCTTCACATCCACAGGTATGTACAGAGGCAGTCCTTGCCGATCCTATGTTAAACTGATGGTAACAAATGAAGCAACCAAACAAAATGTAATAAACTATGAAGTTCCAGGGGCTGAAACCAAGGCTATGCCAAAATGCCAAAAATCAAAGCAAATTCTACAAATCTTCTACAGTTGCCAATATAGCAGAATGAGGCAGGAAGATCTGACAACCTTGTCACAAATGAAAAAGGAAGAGAAGGATAGGGAAAAGGAACATTATAGTTGAGAAGTGCATTTCAATATTAGACTATCTTTTAAAAATATTCAGCAAAATTGAAAGATTTATCATTACAAGAACTGGGAGCAGAAGGAAGAATGGAAAGACAAGAAGTGTCTCTCTACCTGTATGGAATGACAACTACTGTCTGACAACACCATGTTCATTCGTAAGTCCAGGTGTAGGCATCACAGTGATGTGGCAATACTGCTTCTGGAAGTACCTGCTTCCTCCTGTATTCCCCACTGAAAATAATGTTGTCACATATATTTGAATTTATTAAGACTTCAGTGCACAGTTGAAGTTAAGCATCCACTGAGTAAAGGTGCACAATTTGGTACAGCAGGTCAACTCGCTTCAGGAAGGATCTTCAAAGTTCACTTATAAATCTCACAGTAGGAACCAGGAACTAAAATTTCACCTGTAAATATGTTCCAGAAACTAATACCTCTGCAGCAGTCTAACAGCCTAAGTTTCTTTCTGCTATTTTCTCCTTCCTTACTCAGAGCCTTTAACAGTACAGCAAACATATCTGAACATGAAAAATCGTTATGGTGCAGACTACAGGTACAAATTGGACTGGAAGTACAAGATGATGCTTTGTGAAGCTACTTCTGGTACTACAGAGAAAACCTGAGATAACAAGATGCAATGTCATTATAATTTCACATTATACACAAGGTATATGAGCAAAGAATGACTCAGTCTAATTGTGACAGAAAAGATGTGACAGTTACCACCCATTTTTAACTTTTTTGTTTGTTTTTACATGTTAGAAGGCTTCCTTCACTTTAAAAAAACCCTTAAATAACGTGAACTGTTTTATATCCATTCAGCTGCTCATTAAGTTGAAGGCAGCAGAGAGAAACACTTGTGCCTTTCCCTCCCTGGTGACAAAACACACACACAGCCACTTCAGAACCCATAAACTACCTTCATCAGCCTTGCCTGTTTTTCCCCCAAGTGCTAACAAACCATAACGAGGCAAGGCTCAGATTACTATAAAGATATCTACAATACTAGTAATAACCAAAACAGCAAGGGAGCAAGCCAAACAACAGACAGGGCCATGGAATCTCAAATCCTGCTCTCCATCAGCTACTGCCGGCAGCCACTGTGGCACACCCTCAGAGAGGCCTGGGCCTGCACAGCACCATGGGCAGCCTCAGCAGGGTTGGTGTGCTTGACTCTCATGTGGTGTGGCTTTGTTGTTGTAGTTTTGGAGTTGCTGTGCTTTTTTTTTTTTGACAGACAAGGTGATCAAAGCATCATGCGCTTTGGAGTATTTTTTTCCACACTGTCAGTGATGGGCACAAACAGGCTGGAAAAAGGTAACTGCACGAAGGCGACAGCTGCTTGCAGGGCAGCAGTTCCCTCACCTAAGGCAGAACACTGCTTCTCTGCCTGTGCTTCTGCAGGGCCCCAGTGTGGGTCCTGACAAAGAGCTTTGGAAAGCAGTCAACACCCATTTCTTCACTGAGGACTGAGAAGCCACTGAACAACTTCATCCAACAGTCTCTCAGCAGCAGAGAGGTTATATTCTTGGACATACTGCAACACAGAGGACTTGATTATAAACCAACACCATATGAGATAACACCTTTCCAAGACAGTTCAGTCACACTAGCACATGGATGCACCCATGCTAATAACTCACCTCTCCATCGACCTTGTAAGCCAAGCACATCAGGTCAAGGCTGTCACATATCCAGCTGCAGAATGGTTTCCATCCACTAGGCCAGAATACAGATGAAACTACAAAAACAACTCCACTCCCAGCTCTAACAAAACTGCTCTTGCAGATTTCTACTTTGTATCGCTCCCAGCAGGGAGCTTTTGAAGGGATCCCTCTTTTCTCTTTAGCCTACAATAGAAGATGCTATTGTTCAGAACCTCCTTACAGGAGGAGGGAGGATTAATGGAGCCTTCAGGGAAAACAACTCTGCAGATCAAAATGATCAGAAATAAGAAAACACTCATAAGGAGAAACGAATGAGTGGCAGCTTCTTCTTAGCAGTCCAGAAGGAAGGAAAACCCACCTCCACTACAACATTTGACTGAACAGTCCATTGTATTTCTGTTTGAATAGCCTATTTATCACTGGCATTCAATTTTTTTTTTTTTTTTAAAGGAGGCAAACAAAAATAAATTGTTTTTTCTATGTCAACTTCTTTTAGTTACTGAAGAGTACTGTGAATTGCTGATCTCCTAATGCTTTGGCTGGATTGGCAGCCAGTCTAGTCCAGTCGGGCTTGCCTAACGGTATGAGAAATAGAAAATACAATTAGCATAGTCAAAGCCAGGGATAATCTAGGAGGTATTCACAATAATGAATAGAGTTGGGTGACAGGTTGTTTTAGCTGGGAGTTTCTGATACCCAGCCTTGTAACAATGTGTGTGGGCTAGTAAATATTCAGCAGAAGTTTAACAGGGTATTTTAAGGAGATTTACAGTCAGCTCAGTCATGTATCACCACACTGACATGCAGTCTTTGCTTTTGCATATCATACGAGAAACTTAATGTCAGCTTATATGGCAATCACATATATATATAAGTCTGTGCATACTGAGATGTCTATGATGAAAATAGCTTGCCTAGTCTCCTGGGAGCATAATACACAGCAGTCTACTTTCCAGACAACACTATACTGAATTCTAATACTGAAAAAAAAAAAAAAAAAAAAAAGTAAATTTTTTTTCTTTTTAATCATTAAAACTGGCTCAAAGCAAGTAGATGACTGCTTATACAGTCTGAGATATCTGGGAATCTCTACCAAGAGTGAAGGCAACATACTTTAATCTTTTAATACACATTTTGTCTTTTCAAGGAGATTCAACATTTTAGTGCAAGCTTTACACTGTCACTAAATTGGTCTCACTGTATCTTACAATCATTGTGGTATTTCAGCATTTTTGTTCAGTTACTTCTCTTTTTTTTGCCCTCATACGATAAAAAAAAAAAACGTAGAAATCGGATGTGCTTGTTCAGACAATAAAAAATAAAAAGTCACTTAATGCAGCAACAAGATTCACAGTTTTACATTCATTTTCATCTAGGGCAACAAAGCATACAATGAAGAGTTACAAAGTCAGACTGATGATTGACAACCTACTCTAACACTGCTTTGGAAGGCACCTTATCTGCCAAATCCACTTTTACACTATCAGCTCACACTAACATCTGCATTTGCTTCTCATCATCACAGCTTTTAGACTATGGCTTAACTGCATAACCAAAATGCACAGTCCTGTCAGCAGATGACTTCACATTATATAACAGGCTTTGGAGCAGCAAACTGGAAAAACTCAAGTGTGATATGTTCAAGAGCTGTCAAATTTTTCTTTCATACACAGGCAAAGCAATCAGTGATCCCTTCTCGCTCCTGATGAATTGTGGATAATGATGGCTTAGTCAGTGCCTACACTGCACTCACAGGTGGTATTTTGACTGCTTTCATGTAAACTTACTTGTGTGCCAAGAGCAGGACAACCAAGGCATCAAGGATTCCCAGCTGGATCTGCTGTATATGCTGAAACCACAGAACTACAGCTAAACACTGCTACCGATCCCTAAATGAACCAGTTTACTGCCAGTTTGGATGTGTTTACACTAGCTGCAGTCACATTTCATTACAGCACAGATACAATCTTTGGGTGAAATAGCTGGGCAATGTTACCAATGACATTTAAACATTAACATGAAGGTGTTAGTATTTGACAGTAACTCTTTACAGTACTTGCATACAGGAGGAACCACAGTAATTTCCTAGGCTGAATAGTATGACCTAATTTCCTCATTTTTATTATGTAGCACTGACATTATTTGTGTCACATGAAATAAAAAAAAAAAAACAAACACCACTTTGCTAATGCTGTCCCTTACTATTTCTTATATTTTCTGTTCACAGCAAATAGAACATCCAGTGAACATTAGAAAAAGCTCCATTAGGTTGACTGAAACCAGACTCCAAATGGAAATCTATCACGGTAGAGACTGTAATACTCATACTCCTTAAATTTCAAAACGTAGCAATAAGATCAATGAAAAATAAAGTGTCATCTTACCTTAGGATCTCGTTTTCTGCACGCTGATGTGAAACCTGTGACACATAATCAGAACACTTTCCTGTTTTTCCTCATTTCTGCTCAAGTATACACTGTTTTAAATGGGTACTTTCTGAGCATCTTCTTAGAAACAGTTAATAAAATCAGACAATTCAAAGGCTAAAACAGATAAGAAGTGAAACATTTATCATAAAGAGTAAAAATTACCTTTAGCAGGGTTTACTTTTATTCCTGACCTATACAGCATCTCCTCATTCTGCCAGTCCCCATTTCTGACAACAGTCTTGAGTCCATAGAAAACAATCAATGCAGCAGTGGAACAAAAAACCAAGTTCTTCAGAAAGCGTTTTTGGGTTTTGACATAAAGGGCTCTGACACCTACAGTAACCAGCAGGCAGAAGCCCATACTAGGAACATACAGCACACGCTCTGCTATTACAAAGCCAACATAGAAAAATAGGTTTGTGGCAGGAATAAAGGGCACTATTAACAAAGACAGAGACAGAATGACAATGTTCTCAGTTGAAGGAAGCTGTAGTTTCAGGATTTCATGCTTTTTTATGCCATTCTCTTCCTTTGATGCAAAACTTGACTTCCCCTCCAGTGTCTTATATTCCATTTCAGAGTGACAGCTATGCCCATTAGCATTCTGCTTGCCATTCATTACACTTTTCCCATTGCATTCTCTTTCATTGCTGGAGCCCTTCAAGCTGAAGTAGGCGAGGAGGAAAAGTCCAGCATAGAAGGCCACAGTGTGTAGATTTCTCCAGTCGCTGACTGCCTTCAGAAGAGGCACAGCATCCATTGACCAGTCAAAGCTGAGGGTGTCTGGGCAGAACAACAGCCAGAGGTTCTTTGTTGGCAAGTAAAGGAAGGTCAGCATTCGTGTGAGAAAACTGTCTGAATCAGCTGCTGGATTGTCAGAGTTGGAAAAACTTGGGGGCTTGTTGCCCATCCAGTATAAGCGGATACCCAGCAGTGCAGTCCCCCAGGAGGTCAATAAACCAATGCTGAAGAAAAGGTTCAAATTCTTCCTCTGAAAGGAAAAAAATAAGCAATCATAAGTCTAAATTAGCATGAGGTATTTGATTCACAAACAAAAGGAATCCAGAAATATCTCATACAACTGTTTTTGGTAATGAAAACCAAGCACTGCAGGTCTGTCTCAGGCGTTTGGTTCACAGAACGCTGGAGTGAACCGTACACTGCTGACCATAAACTAAAAGAACAGGTTCATTTCTGTAAGCCCCCTGAAGCTTGTAAGAGAATCAAGTCTTGAGATCTTAGAGCTGTCAGTCCATGCTTATCACTTATCCCAAGTAGCCGTATAACGATTTGAAGAATATGTAAGTTAGAGGAATTTATGGAACATTACATTGGTCTTCATATAACGTCCCAAATCCCTTATTTGCTTCTGGCAGTGGCTGAACCAACAGTTTACCTCAACAAAATTTAAAGTTACAGGACTGCTCCATTTTTCCTAACAGACACATTTCCTAAAGTAATACTTACGGAATTTCACCTAACAACCAAATAAACATTCCAACCAGCCAAGAAAAGAAAACAGACAGTTTCCATGTTTAGGTCTTCCAGTTCCAGTTAATTACAATGTTCATTTGGAGCCGTCAGATGTGCCTATTACTGAAAGCTCCATTTCATTCTGCATCTCGCAGCCAAACGTTGTTTTTTTTTTCTTCAAGAGCACCATATTAAATCACAGCTTTAAAAATCTTTCACATCTTTATACTCATCTAAATAAAAATTTGTGAAGCATTCAGATGCCTCCACCTACTCATGTCATCACACTAGCAACCATAAGCTGCCACTTATTTATGGAATAACTGAACATTTGCCAGCTGAAGCTGCTTGTTGGGTTCTCCCCCTCCCCATTAGAAAGTACTTACTTATTCATACACTTGCAGAAACATACCACTTCTGCCTGAATGAAAATCAGAAGAAGCGAGACTTTCTCACCTATTTCTAGGATTGATGAGCTTAAATTCTGCGTTCAACTACATGGGCACCCTAAACAAAAGCTGTTTTGGATTACTCTCTTTTTGGCAGAAATATCTGTAAAAGCAAAAATATGAGTAATTTTTATATTTCATTTTCTTAGATGCTCTCTGTAAGAACAGAAAAATTATTTGCCAAGTAGCTCCAGACACAGTGTGAGCACTTTGTTATTATTTCCCCACATTATTACAAAAAATTAGTTGTTAATCATCTTCCTTTTTATCAGGTCTGGTTTTTTATCCATCTCAAACTACACATTCCTGGTACAGTTATTCACTGAACATTTCTTATGTTTGTTACTGATAAGCAAGACCTCACAGTGGAACTTTTTATCTTATTTCTTTCAAACACCATTTTTCTTCTTCATGGGGTTACTCTCTCCTTGATATCTTGACATACAGGTGACTGTGCTACTCCATTTTAGGTTTGCTTTTAATAGTTATCTATCAACAGGTCACCCAAAATGTAGTCATCATAATTTACTTGCTTATTTCACGAAGAAATTTACTCCCATTCACATTTCTGAGAGCTTTTCCTTGTGAATTTAAACTATTCAATGGCAGATTAATTCATTCAGTTTTGAGGAGATATGGAAGAATGCAAAGGAGGCATTAGCAGGGAACAAACAAATTCATAATGAGAATGATTTACATATCTATATCAGATCCACTTGAAAAATGTTGCACCTTTTTATACATGAAGCAAAGTCTGAGTCCACATATTTACCATATTGATTACATTTTTTAATTAGTTTCTGCATACTTCTATATTTTGGAAATTCAACACCTTTTTAGTAGTAAACCAATCAAAATCCGTATCTACTCTTCATGATTAATATAGTCCTTGGAAAGCCTACTGAAACAGACTACTTTGACTTGTAAGCTACTTAATTCTTTACAACCCACCTGAGGTACTGTTTTACCCCTACTTGATAGAATTGTCTAAATGACTTAATGTTATAAAGCCATGTAAACTAGTTACCACAAAAAAATTCCAGCTAACTTTGTTTTTGGAATAAAAATACAACCCATATTTCATCATTTGCATGTATTCCCTCATAGTAAAAATTTATTTTCCTGATTCAACCTGCTCTTCCATTCTCAGTATATTTTGGTACACTAAAATCTTTGCCTTCTCTTCTCTGGCTTCATTATTTTCAAACTTGTTTCCTTCAAACATGGAGATGACAAATTCTCATATGCCAAATGTAACTCTTTTTTGCTCTTTTTATATATCCTTCTGTAGTCTCTACAGAGGAGTACAGGAGACTGCTTAGAAAAAGAAAAAATAATAAGCTGGAAAGTGGAAGATGGGGAGTTTTGTTCATTTGTTTGCTTGTTTAATTAGTAATTCAGAGCAGGTCTTTGCAGGAAGACCATAGCACAAAAAGATTAAGACATCCTGAGTACTTAGCAAGTGAAATTTGATTAATAGACAAGAAGTGAGCTTTCATGGATTGCTTAGACTGCTTTGTTATTTTGCTAATACTTACTTAACAACCAGAGGGAAATCTCCCTTTCCTAAAGTTCTAACAATTGCACTTTTCAACTAAATGCAGAGTTCACATTACAAAGTTCTTCAACAATGCTCACACTGCAGCAGATACACCATGCCTCATAACCTACCTAATGCGTGGTTAACAGAGAAACCTGCTAAAAACTTTCAGATCTTCTTCATACATCATAAACCAGTAACAATGAAAAGTTTGCCTCTTACTCCCAGCCTTAGAATGCAAACAATCTGGACCTCAAAGCTAATCCATCCTCACTGCTACAGTAATTATTTACAGCCTTCCTTTTAAGCTTAAATTTAAGAACTGTAAGGTCTGGATCCTCAGACATTTTGGATCTATAAAGAACACCACATTTCTATACGCAGTATTGTGTTTCATGCTCTAAGAATACTTTTCTTTAAGACTTAACACCAGTGTCAAATGAAATATCTCAGCATATGAACAGTGGAGTTCAGAGGTATTCAAGTAGGTGATTTTCCACTCCAGCATATCTATCTATCATGCCGCAGAATACTACTTAAACCAGAAGAGGACCTCTGGCAAATTCCAGAGCTTAATTATTGGGCTACAGGAGTGGAGTGAAGGCTCCTCAGAGACAAGTGGTCTGCATCCTTCCACAGCAGCTTTTTGACACGTGACTCTTCTCAAAAGCCAGCAGTTGTACATCTTTTTAGAACTAACTACACATTCACTGCATCTACCAATAACCTGTGTAACACTGAGCTACCAGTGCAAATTTTTCATGGCTCAGATGACATCTTCTGGATTTAGTTAAAGGAAAAAATAAATACTAAATACTTCCCAACACTTAAAAAAAAAAAAAAAAAAAAGAAAAAAGTTTATCACAGATAGAGTTGGCTCCAAAGAGGAATGACAGACTCATTTTTTTCCACTCTCATCACTTAACCTCATGACTTTTGCACTAATATAATCAAAGATAATTAGGCTTAGCTCATATTCTGGTTTTACTTTCTTCCAGGCTTTGTACAGAGAACCAATGAGAAGGGGAAAAACCAATCAAAATGTGACGTAATATCATCAGCTCACCAGTACACTTCCATCTGCAAAGAAAGAGCTTTCAAAATGAACTCTGCTTTGATAAGCACTTTCACCAGCAACTCTTCCCCTGCATGCATTTAGTGCAGCCCAGCAGCAGGAAGAGATCCTCGGTAATGCTTGGCAGCAAGGATTTGGATTACTGTACTCATGAGCCCTAATCCAGCCCATCTGCCATATGTTTTGACACCCCCATAAATCCTCTAACCTTTCATAAGTAGTCATTTTCATCTGAGGAAAAAATGAGCACTGATTTAGATCAGATTTAACATTTCTCCTGTCTGCTAACAGTCAAGTACCACCACCGCAATTTTAGTGCTTGTGACTGCAGAAGTCCTTTTCATCTCCTTACCAAAATCCATCTGCATGACCCACCCACATTGTACATTTCCCTTGCATTAAATCCTAATTCCTCACTCCATTATACTGCTCTTAAATAAGGCACTGCAGCAGATTGCTTGATTGGGCAGCCCCTGCCAAAGCTCAGTCATCACCTAAGCAGTATCCAAAGCATTTTTAAAAGACACCGTTCTTTTAACCTCACCTTGTCCACTGTACAAAACAGCATTAAGTGCAGCATGTGGTCAAACAGGCCAGATATCAAAATCACCAGGGCTAACCACACACAATTTGCTATTTATAGAACTTGGGAAATACAGAAAATAAACTGGGTAAGTCATCAGGCATTACTCAAAAAAGAGTCTATTTTCCAACACAGAGCTCCTTGAAAATATGTTGGCTCAAGAACTGGGGCTTCCCAAAGCAGCCAAATCACCAGACTAGGCTGACAGTATCTTGTTCCCTGACAGGATCACAGATGAGCTGAGTCTAAGCTGAACCTGACTGCAAAACCCAGATGGGCCAGGAACGAGGCAGCTTGCTACAGCCCAAGTCTGGCCCCGTACTGAGCTGGCAGCAGCTTTCCCAACTCCCTCTCCAGCTTCCCCACTTGTTCCCACTATTTTTGTTCCTGGCTCATGACCCACCAAACGAGGTCAGCTCATTTACATTGGACAGCAACAGCAGCCTGAAGGCCTGTTCTTCCTTGGAGCTGGAGTTCTGCCTATAGCTTTTCCAATGCTGTGACCAATTTAATGCCATTTACTTTGTGTTACGAACCCACATGGTTATTCCTCAGTGAAGAAGTTACTGCATTCATAAAGCAGCAGAAGAGTATGTGTACATATTTTTACTGTAATTAGCAAGTAGCACAATTTGAGCAGTCTTTATTAGTGTTGACTTGCATTATTAAAATTAAAATTGAGTAACAAATAGTGGCATTTAAAATTTACAGTCTTCCTCTAAAATCTGTAATATGAATCTTTAAAAACAGAATGAACTCCCAGTCTCTCAGCTGAAAAAGTAATTGCTGGAACTACCCTGAAAATGATAAATTGTGTTAAGAGCAACAACTGGATGAATGACCAAACATAAAACAAGAGCAGAAGGGACAA